CAAAAACATTAAAACCCATTATAAACGAGGCATTTGTTGATATCGTCTTCTTTTGGAAGGCCAAACAAAGTAGTTTCGCTTTCACAACGAAACACAGCGTCTTCACTACATGGCGGCAGCAACAATACTATAGCGAGAAGAAAAGTTACACCTTCTTTCTTTGCGTGAACATTTGGGCGGCATTATGCAAATCTTCCCACATCGTGACGTAGACATGTAGGGGCGTGTTAGAACGAGCCGTTTTAGGTAGGCGTGGTTGACTCTTAACTTTTATAAAGAATATCTCTTTGGATTTGAGACTTTAGTCTTTGCAACTTTACAGATCTTCTTTATGCACCAAGAGCATGTAACACTTCAAAGAGAAAGGAAAAATTTAAATCGCATCATATGACCCCTTTAAGTGTGTTCAACCGTTCTCTGTTATCACATTTTACCGAAATAGTGCTAATTCGCGTGCAGGTGTGTCGCCAAAATCTGAGACAATGATTGCCGGAGAACTGTAAACTTCAGACCGTGGCCTCGCGTTTCACTCGTAGTTGAAAGATGCCGTGACTGACTCCATAACCTGCCCATAAACAAACAGTACTGAGATTAGACAAAATATTTTATCATCAGATTAAATTAAACAGTATTAACGAATAAAATCCATTTATGTTATGCAAGGCAAAAGCAGCGGACGCAGCTGACTGACATCTCATCCTTGTATGTTATGTTGCGTAAAATAATACAATTTACAGCACAGTAAAGACTTTATGAATTAAATAAAATGTATACAAACCTTTATTTTGCTGAAGAAGTGCACCTAATAGGTGGCGCTGAGAACTGCTCTCTCCTGTAGAGGATGCAAAAAGTCTGCGATCTGACTGTAACTCAGCAGCTGGGTTGTTTCGTTGGAGACAGCTAGGTTCAACCCAGCAGTTTGGGTAGAAAAAAATAACCCAGCATTAAAAATGACCCAGCAACTTAAGTTACAGAAAAACTACCCAGCATCTGGGTAAAAATATTAAAAACAACCCAACAAAATGAGCCAACAGACTGAACCCAGAATTTGGGTTAAAAAAAATTCAGCAGCTGGGTTGTTTCGTTGGAGACAGCTAGGTTCAACCCAGCAGTTTGGGTAGAAAAAAATAACCCAGCATTAAAAATGACCCAGCAACTTAGTTACAGAAAAACTACCCAGCATCTGGGTAAAAATATTAAAAACAACCCAACAAAATGAGCCAACAGGCTGAACCCAGAATTTGGGTTAAAAAAAATTACTCAGCGTTTTTTTAGTGTACAAACTTGAAAAAAACTTAAACATTGTTTAATTTGTATCTTTGTTCTATTTGTGCTTTTTGTGCTTTTTACACCATATCAAACATGGCCCATGAGTATAACCTGCACCGGGGCCCTGCAAACCCCAGCTACAGCCCTGACTTCATTTGTAGTTTGCTGACACCACTTTAAGCAAAAGACTAAGATACTTTCTAACTATAATACCTAACAAAAATGAGAAAAAACAGTCTTGAAAGAGTGAAAAGGGTCATTTTCCCTTTGCCCGAGTGATTTCTTGACTGGGGAATCTCTCTGTCACACACACACACACACAGTTCTGCAGTCTTCTCATGGACCAATCAAAAATGTATGTGGCTGATGAGACATCGATTCAAATAGACAATTGGGAAAACTGATCAACTGAAGATGATCATCTGTGTTCAACCAGTCAATGACGCTGAATTCTAATTTGGATTCAAAGCTGGATTTAAAGTAAAAATCCATTTACACTTTAGTCACAATAGCGAAGATTAAAAGCTCTAGAGATATCTCTAAAAGAGCATGTACGGTCATTCATAACATTTGTCGATTGAGTTATATATATATATATATATATATATATATATATCTGTATTAATTTATGTTGATCTGATAGTTTAGGGAAGTGTTTGCATATTCACAGTATATTTGCACTTAATTTGGTCTCATTCAAATTTAATTAATTTCACATGATTTGATATAATTGAAGTATTTTTAGGCAATTCTATGAAGCAAAACTGTTAACTATTGATAGAGACAAGAACAAATAGGAAGGAACCATTAAACTAACTATATCTTAACCAAATAAACAAGTATTTCATAGAGTCAGGTATTGATCTATAATTTTGCATGAGGAGGGAAAGCAGCAGACAACGTTATACAGCCCTTATGAAAAAGAAGTAGACTTCTGCATAGATTTAAAGAGAGTAATTATTACAGAAATTATATACTTTATAAGAATATAAGTGCAAAGTGTCAGTGTTTTACCCACTATAGGCTTAAGTACAGTTTTATAATTTCATAATTACTTCTATTGTCTTTCAAATATACATTTACATTTAGTAATTTAGATGCTTCTATCCAAATCAACTTAGAAATGAGGACAATAGAAGCAATCAAACCAACAAAAGAGCAATATTATGTAAGTGCTGTGACAAGCCCAGGTTAGTCTAATGCAGTACACGTAGCAAGGTTTTTCCTTATAATATATATAAAGAAAACAATTAGATAGAATAGAAAAAGAATAGAGAACACTGGTGTTAGAGTGTATTTTTTAAATAAATAAAAAGAAAACAAGTAAATAGAATAGAAAAAGAATAGAGAATGCTAGTGTTAGAGGGTCATTTTTTAAAATAAATAAAAAGAAAAGTAGGCAGAATAGAAATAGATATGGTTACTGCCGAATGTATTGACAAACATTAATAGCAAACCTAAATATTTTTTTAAATGTCATTTCTATTGATACTTCCACATTTTTAATGATGAAGTTGCAATTTTGTACAATTAAAATATATTAACTCAGCACATCAAAAAGTGTACTTCTTTAAAGCAGGACAAAAGATGATAAAACATAATGATTTAAAATGTTCTTTAAAGTAAAACTTTTGTAAATATTTGACATTACAAAATGCTCTTTTTAAAAGTGTACGTTAGTGTACTCTCTTTAAGTACATTTAAGTGGCCTTTTATTTAAGTAATATATTATCTGACTGTAGTAATATATAAAGTAATATATTATACACACACACACACATTTCAGATCACATTCAACACAGTTAAGCACACTCTTTTTCACAAGGTTAAGTCTAGACAAATGTGTAAAAACTGGCCCCACAGTAGATGTACAGTATTAATGTTAACGCTGGGAAGTAAGCACATGCCAGTAATGAAATACTCACCAGAGCGCTGGCATTCATCAGCACACAGCACAACACAAAAGCCACGGAGACCTCCACTGACACCATGCTTAACCCAAGACCTTTGACCTTTTCCAGAACTTCAGCTCAGCAGAGAGCTCCTCTTTCTCTTTAGGACATGGTGGTCTAATTGAGGTGCAGAGAAGTGACGTTTGGAGCCATTACTGCTGTGTTGTGTTAAAGCTGTTGTTATTCTGATGCCGTTGCGTCCACCAGCTATTCATCTGTTGGAGTGTGATCAATAGTTTGTTTTAGGATACACTTACATTTGAATATATAGACATATTTCAAAAGAGTAAAATCCACTTCTTTGTAAAATGTTTCAAATAAAAAAAGGCAAAGATGACAATTGAATATTCTTTACCCATCACAGATGATATTCTTACATTTCTCAGATTCTTGGTCTCTTATCCTTGATTGAAGATGAAACTTGTTGATCCATTTGGAGACCTGTTAAGGAGAGCCTCATCTGTCATTGAGACATGATCTCCTGTGTGTGAGAGTGTTCAGTGAGGTTAATAGCGTGGTGGTCATCATTGGCCCTTGGCTGTTGGGCTCCACCACTCTTTATTATGTGGGATGCGCATGAAAAATGTTAACCCTTCATTGCCATGAGAAAACAAAGCCCTGACTCTACTCCTTTCCAGAGTTGCTATTTTTCTAAGTCTATTCATGCACACACATTACAAACATCACAAATTCAGTTCGATTTCATGAACATCTATGTATGTATTTGGTATATGCTGCAGTGTAATAAGCAGGAAAAACAGTGTGACACATGAAACCAGATGTATACTGTGTGTGTATATATATATATATATATATATATATAAAAAACATAATATTTGAATCAGTTTTTGTATTTTCTATTTTTCTTTCATCTGTTAACAATAACCCTGGAACACAATATACTGTGAATAATTTTTAATCAACAGGTAAATTTGTCTAACACATAATAAGCTAGCCTTTAATGAAATACATAATAAATGAAATCCACTTTTGTAGTCCACATATATATATATATATATACAAAATTCAAAAATTATTATTAGTATTACTATTATTATTATCATCATGCTGTTTATGATTATATTATATTATTATACATTTTCAACATGTTGTAGAAAATACAAAAGACTGAAATAGATTACTGAAAAGATATCAAATAATTCAAAATACATAAAAAACCTCAGAACCATAGCACCTAAGGACTTTTATTTTGGCATTAGTTTGTTCAGCGGTAGTGACGCTTTTTATAGTGTTGCTGCCTCTTGGGCTCGTGTGTGATAAATTAGCTCTGGATTACAGAAGAACTATGGTATAAATTGACCTTTTTTTTTTTCTCTCTCTCTCATTTTCGCAAGTAACAATCACGGAATATATTGAATCATGGTCGTAAAACCGTTCTTGAAACAATCCGATTAAAACGTGCATGTTAGAAACTTAAGACTTGTAAATCAAAGACATGACATTTTAAAATTGGACTAAAGTCATTTGCTTTAGTTACTTACATAGCTACCCATCTGTTTAGTAAGGGAAGCACAATGTAAGGAGACATGATTCTGATGGCTTTCAGACTGACCGTGAGAGTGTCTGCAGTGGTTCAGAGCCTATTCAGGACCATTTGTTGTGTCCAGTCCTCCATTCATGCAGAGCACTGCACTCCAGCTCTGCGCTGTGGGCAGGACACAACAAATGGTCCAAAGTAAAGGACATTAAAATACCCAAAGATGCTGCTCGAGCCCGGATGATTGCCAAGTACACCATGATGATCAAGATTGCAGTAAGAGGTGAATGCATAAAACTTGACTGAAAGAATTGAGATTATCCAATCTGGTACTAACCATCAAGTATGTACCATGGTAAAAAAATAATACCATGTACCATGAAAAAGAACAAAGTATTTATCATGTTAAATAGGGTGACCATACGTGCCATTTTCCCAGGACGCGTCCTGGACAGGATTTCTATATTGCCTAAAATATCTAGGTTTTGGCTTTGTTTGCGTGTGCAGACCGATCGGTGTATGACATCAAAATACCATACAGACGGTTCCTTATGCTTTCAAAATGCTCTCGAGGTATAAGGGCAGTGTACACACTGCCTTTAAAAAGTTTGGGATCAGTAAGATGTTTTTTTTTTTATGATCAAAAATACAGAAAAAAACTGTAATGTGAAATATTATTACAATTTAAAATAATGATTTTCTATTTTAATATACTTTAAAATGTTATTTATTTCTGTGATGCAAAGCTGAATTTTCAGCAGCCATTATTCCAGTCTTCATTGTCACATGATCCTTTTGAAATCATTCTAATATGCAAATTTATTATCAATGTTGAAAACGGTTGTGTTGCTTAATTTTTTTGGAACCTGTGATAGTTTTTTTCAGGATTCTTTGAAGTAAAAAAGAACAGTATTTATTTATATTAAAATAGAAATAGATTCTTTGTAAAAGATATGCACTACCCTTCAAAAGTTTGGGGTCAGTAATTTTTTTTTTTAAAGAAATTAATACTTTTATTTAGCAAGGATGTGTAAAATAAGTGATAGTAAAGACTTATATCGTTAGAAAAGATTTGTATTTTGAATAAATGCTGTTCTTTTTAAAAAAAAAATTTTGCATTAAAGAATCCTGAAAAAAAAAAATCCTCCAAAAAATATTAAGCAGCGTAACTGTTTCCGACTTTATTTCCGATGGTAATAAATCAGAATGATTTCTGAGAGATCGTGTGACACTGAAGACTTTCATTATTCACTCACCTGCATACGTTATGTTTTTTTTTCTTCCAAACATCAATAGTTTGCAGTGTTCATCATGTCTGTCAGCTCCATAAATGACACAAAGACTCAAAAGTATAGTAAATGCAGTCCGTACAAATTGTATCTCAGTGGAGGGGAAGGAGATCAGTGAATTATGACTGACATATCAGTCTTTTCAACACATACACACTCATATCTTATGACTTCAGGAGACGTTTGAAGACATATGACTTTCATGTCATTTTTGCAGCTTGACAGGTGTAGTCACTATAAACCGTCACTGAAAAAAATCTTTTTTTCCTCTATTCTGTTAATTATGTATTGATGAGATATTATTATTAATAATAACACTCTTATGTTATGTATAATGGAAGTCAAAGCCAGGAGTACAGTATGTTTATGAGGCCACGGGTGTGTGAAGGATCACGCCGGAACTTTGACAGGAAAGGTGTTGTGGCAGCATCCAGAGATGGGATCTCCTCTGAGAGAGCTCTAGAGCTGGCCATTGAGTCAGGAGCTGAAGATGTGCAGGAGATAGAGGAGGAGGAGGAGCGACCCATACTACAGGTCTGAGCACTCTTTCTTTGTGGGATCATGCAAAATTCAAAATATAAGCATTTAATTATGCCTTTCAGTTTTCAGAGTATGAATTTGAATTGACTTGGCAAACATGCTCTGAAAGCATGTAACTTAAATTGAAGAGGATTTTGCTCAAATTTATTAATTCACACAACAGAGGAATTTCATATTTTCTAGTTTTATGACAAAAAATATTGTCAATGAATTTGACTAATTATTATGCATATTTATTCCCTGAAATGTAGAATACATGGTTTAATGAAATACATCATTTTGGTGAGGACTCCCTAGTAGAAGAGATCTATATCTGGAGTAATTCCTGGTCAAATAAAGGATAAATAATAAATAAAATAAAAATCTGATCAGGCAAAAAAATAAAAAAGTTCATTACTGTATATATAATTAACAGCCATCAAATCAGATTTGATATAAAGCATCATAAAATGTCACATCACAGTGATTTCAGAAAACTTTATGAAAATACATTTTGTGATTATATTAAGCCAGCGGTTCTCAAACTGGGGTACATGATCAAAAATACTGAAATATACCTAATAATATCACACTCTTAAATAACATTCAACTGAGCATGTTTCTCACAGGCAAAAAAAATATAGTGTGTGCCCCCTCTAGTGTACAAAAAAAATGGTAGTGCCATATTTTGCAGTCAAAAAGTGCACCTCTGTTTGCTCAGGTGCATCAATCGGAGTGTAAACAGTTGCTGTGTCTGAAATTGCCCCCTATACCCTTAAATGGGGCTCTATTTGCGGGGACAGCCATTTTTTAAATTGTACATAGGCTATACATCAGATTATTTTATTTACAAGTTATTGTGTTCATCCCGTTTTTTTCCCGTTGCATCTGAAAATTACTTTCAGAAACTTTTTTTTTTTCAAAGCAGCAAAAATCATGGTTTACAGTGCAGTACCACAATTGGATTGTTTTTTACAGGTAAATTTTTTTTTTAACTAAATGAAAATAAACTACAGTACTGATACTGTAAACGAAAATACGGTAATAATACTGTAAATAAAATACAGTAAAGAAGACATTACTGTACTGTAAATGCAATTACAGTAATAATACTGTAAACATTTTTACAGTAAATTACTGGCATCCAGCTGCCAGTAAGTTACTGTAAAATTTACAGCAACCTATTTAATCCGGTCTGGAGTTTGTTTCTCACACCCCGTCTCTCCTGACTCAGACTCAGCTAGAGACCGCATCCTCACTGCTGGAGGCTCTCAATGACTGTCCTGATGTGGTCCGGGTATGGGATAACATCCATACACAGACCTAGAGTTCACAAGTCAACTGACAAATGGAAGAACACACAGATAGATGGACTATCTACATGCCTTAAGAGCAACTGGAAGAAATGGACCTGCTTGGCCAAAATTTGTTGGACTTCCCTTGGATTTTTTTGTGTGATGGTAAATAAATAAATAATGATATATCTTCATCGTGGCAGTAAAGAAGATATGTTAGTCATAGATGTTTATCACTTTGATTAGCATTATGCACTGAATGTTGTGATCATAAACACCTTTTTTTTTATGCAGATCTGGATAAAAAGAGATAGAAAGGCAACTTGCAAGGACTTTTTCCCACATCCTGAAAAAAAAACATAGCTGCTCAATGCAAATGTTTATTGAACAGTGAGAATCAGGGTGAGGTATTCATTGTGGCTCAGAGCAAAAGTGACGATCGGTCTTTGACTAGAAATGTTTTTATATTATATGCATATAATATAAAAGTCACATCTGGATGCAAGGGACACCGGAAGTTAAAAAAGAAAAAAAAAAAAAAAAAAACTGCCCGAGATAAGTGTGGGGGTAAAATGTCCTCAGGCTGATTTAAGCCCAGTTCACACCAAGGACGAAAACTAAAGATAACTATAAATATAACGATATTAGCGTCCACACCATGATGATATCGTCTGTTTATTCTAAGCGCACACTCGTCTGCCGCTTTAAATTCTCGAGTTCATGATAACGGGATGGATTCTGATTGGGTGTCAATAATTTTATCATTCATCAGCTGGAAAAAAATAGTTCTGAAAGTGATTCCAGCGATATCGTTTCTCTGTGCCTTTATCGTTATAGCTGTGGTGTGGACTCTGCTATTCTTTAATTTTGAGAACGATTTTTAGAACTATATCTTTATCGTTATCTTTATAGTTATCGTCCTTGGTGTGAACGGGCCTTTACTCTTTTAAACATTTGATGTATTTCATAAAATTATTGGCCTGTCTAGTTATGGATTTACCTCAGCAGACAATGTAGGAATATGTAATTTTTAGAATGTATAATTAATATGAATTGGTTTTTGATGAGCTAAACTTAAAAACTCTAAGGCTGATAATACACTTTTTGAGCAATGTTGCGGGGCAACTTTGGTTAATGTTGCCATCAACGGGCAACCAGGTGAGACACGGGGTCCACGACCAATCTAAAGTATCCAGATATAAATTTGTTACCCATTCTCAGTGGGAAAGTGCCCAAGAAACATTGCTCAAAAAAAGTTGCCCCGTGTATCATCAGCATTAAACCATTGAACGTAGGGGGAAAACCCCCTCTGAATAATGTTTTTTAAATTAAATAAAAACCTAACATTGTCACCAGGCAATTATTTCAAATTAATTCTAGCAGAGCGCTTACCGTTATATCTTTTTTCAGCAACTTTTGTATTTGATGTTAGTTTCATTATTAGTCAGACATAATTGTTCTAGTTGTTCAGTAGATATTATCTGAAATAATTCAACTGAAGTGATTGACATATTAAAGGTTTGTGTTTTGATAAGGTTAGAAAAATTAAAATCAGTTCAAATATTGATCCACATCTAAATATATGTATATATATATATGGTCAACATTTTTTTAAGGTCCAATTCATCGAGTTCCCAACTCAAAAATATGAATTTCCCAGCAGGATTTAAACACAAATTACTCCATCTATTTAGGTATCAGAATTTATGTTATAAGTAAAGCCTTGGTTTGGGCTGCTTATTTAACAGACCTCATTATCAGACATAACTATTCATATAGTAATACATGTGTATATAATAATACAGACTTGGCTTGATGAGGGCGATGTCGTTGTGGTAGGTCTCAGCCATGTAGTTCTTGTGAATCAGAATCTCGTCTACGTCGTGCGTGACCTCATGACCCTCATTGGCCAGTGTGTCGAACTCACCTGACAGGAAGACAAACAGGAGTGAGATCTGTTTAACATCTCTATAGTTTCTCGCAGATGGACACTCTCCGTGATGTTTCTCCTGAGAGTAATCTCACGTGTGTCTCCTCTAGAGTTTAGGAAGAGATCTCAACCAGTGTTGGGGAAAGTTACTTATAAAACGGATAGTTCCGGTCCTTGATTCTGATTGGCTGAGCCACGTTCGAAGCTGTTGTAAATTACTTTACAAAGTAACATACACCTTTGTTTACATTTGTGTGTTGCTCGGCAACCACTTTGTTGGAACCACAGCTGATTCTGTTTTTTTTTAAAAGTCACATTGCCACTTTTATTCAAAGACGCTATTACCAAATATTTATTAACACTCGAAAAAGCAATTACTACTAGTCTAATGATGCTCTCTGGTCAAATTAAAATTCATATTATAAAACGGATAGTTCCGGTCCTTGATTCTGATTGGTTGAGCCGCGTTGTTTACTCCTGTGTTGCTCGGCAACCACTTTGTTGGAACCACAACTGATTCTGAGGAGCTACATTGTTTGGTGGAAGAATACTGTTTTTATTAAGATCATTACACTTTATTTGCTCTGTTTTATTTTGTGAAACCTTACTACGTATATGGAATAACCGTTTTATAAAAGCAATAAGCTCCTTGAAGCTGTGGTTTACAGTGAATTTATAATAGCTATAACTCAGCTTCGCGTCATACCTAACAATGCCCTTTTGCTGTTATAAATTCACTGTAAACCATGGCTTCACTGGGCTTATTGCTTTATTTTAAAAGTAATGCATTACAATACTGCGCTACTCCCTAAAAAGTAACTAATTCTGTTATTTAGTTACTTTTTATGGAAAGTAATGTGTTACGTTACTTTTAAGTTACTTTTTAAATCTGGGCAGGGCTTGCTTGTTTGTTTTTAATATAAAAACGTTTTACAAGAGTAAAAGCTCTTTCACAACAAAAGTGAAATGAATACGCCTCATTCTGAAGGAAATGTAAATTCACGTCTGTACAGTAGAGGGCGCAGCTCAAACAAATCACATGAAGAATATGACGCAGCAGAAGAAAGTTCAACACTGTTCAGCAATAACAAAAATTAAACAAATGTGTCATTTTTGCTTAGTATGGTTGATTTGGATACATAGCCAGTGTCATGGCTTTAGGTCAGTCAGTTCTCATAAAAGCCTGTTTGATAGATCAAGCCCACTTCCTGTCTTTAGTCATTGACCTATGGATAATTCATCATAATTCTATGTACAGGCCTCGAGTTCAGTCTGGTGTGAACATTGATCTACCTCTGACTCTTTTCCCATTGACATATTCATTTTTTTCTTGTAAGAGGTTAGTCCTGAGGGCAAAAGCACTCTGTTGATTCAACAGTCCGAAAACGCCAATAAGAAATAATTGTGCCTTCAAGAACTCGCTTGATTGTGATGTAATTGATTTGTTTAAGAGTTTCTTCCACTGTGGCAGCTGTCTGGTTCACACTGACAGGATTTTGTCCACGTGAGACTTTGTTTGTCAATGTTCTGGGTCGAGTCATTAGAGGACGACCCTATGAGACATTTCAATGTGTTTGTACAGGAAGGGCATTTGGATTATGTACCATATAAAGCCGGGCCAGTAACATATTGCCCTGGCAGGTAACTCAGCGAGAACGGACAGAATGCAGCACTTGCATGGTAAGAGAGAGTTTATTATATAACATACTGTAGTGTGCAGTGTCTCTCAGTTAAGGTCAGATGTAGAACAAAAGCAAGGATGGAGACCCCAACAGTGACGTAAGAGAAGCTTCCACACGTCAAGACAACGTTTCTTTAAAGGATTTACAGTGGATTTTAGGTATGTTTTGAAAACGTATAGCAAGAAATCTGCAGAGCATTGATACGATGACCACAAATAGAAAATCTGCAATAAGTGGACATAAAAATTGGTGAATAAAAGCGACAAACTTTCATTTTGGCAAAGATCTGCATCAGAACATCAGGAGAGCTGATTTAGAACAAGACTACACAAGGAATTTTAAGTCACAAACCACAGAAACTGTTTTTTTTGTGTGAATTTTGTCTGTGATTTTGTGAATTTTTCTGGTTGGATGTTGGAAGCTACTTCATCTTTTGGATATCAGGAATTTGCGTTAAAGGATTTGCTTTCATGAGTGGATGATATTATTGTTCTGTTATTATTCGATGAGAAGGTACTGTTAAAAACATTATACTGGACAAACAGCAACTATTTGGGTTGCAACACAGTACAGAATTTCTTTGGTAAAGAGGAGCAGTCTGGATCTTCACACAGAAGCTACTTCATCTTTTGGATATCAGGAATTTGCGTTAAAGGATTTGCTTTCATGAGTGGATGATATTATTGTTCTGTTATTATTCGATGAGAAGGTACTGTTAAAAACATTATACTGGACAAACAGCAACTATTTGGGTTGCAACAGTACAGAATTTCTTTGGTAAAGAGGAGCAGTCTGGATCTTCACACGAATGAGGAAATTTGTTTATGTGTCTATAGGTCATTTCATATAGGAAACAAAAATCACTAAGATATCTCATTAATATCTCAGTTGTTTCTCCTAGACAGTAATGAGATTAAAAGGAAAGCAAACAGGTCTCCTGCTTCTCAGATGTTTTTCCTAAGAATAAGACCCCAGTAATCTCAAGTGTATCCTATAAAGTTTCAGAAGGTTGCAATAATTCATCAAAATGTGCTTAGATTGCCAAGATACCAAGGCCTAAGAACAAAAGTCAGAGATTTCAAGCATGTCTCATCAAATCGTTCCAAGATCATGTTATCTGAGCCATGCAATAACAATTAACTGTATTGTTACTTCTGGAGAAATATTTGAGACAAATATGATACTTAAATGAAACAACTGTGAACTCATTTTGTCTCCTGTTCTGACCTAATAAAATGTAATCCATTAAAACAACGCTCTGAATTCTAATCCATTTTTTTTCTTCTATCATAAAGACTTGAAGTCCAGTTTGTGGAACTCTACCTCCAGATCTGAGCGGATGAAAGCTTTAAACCGATTTTCTTCATCCAATCACTCCACAGCAGCCTGCAACATCGAGCTTGTTACTCCAAGAGTGAAGGAGCGCACACAGAACGTGACAGAGAAGGTCACGCAGGTAAGATATATTATTGGGCTTCCATCTTAGATGTACATTTGTGGCTGGATTACACGCGATAGTTTAGCTGAATATAATGAAACTACAAGTAGTATAAAAATATAAGTATAACCACAAATAATTTTGTTTGTGTTTAATTGACCCTTTAATTTTTTGTGTGAAAACTTCCAGCTATTGTAATGTCATAAAAAAAAATTCAGGTCCTCTCACATCCAAAAGTTTAAAAAATAAATCATACTGAGCACTTAAAAGTGGATGTCGGAATCATCATGGCAGGTGTCGCATGGAAAAAAAAAATGTGGCCAAAAACTTGTGGAAAGATCGTTAGGACAGAGACATGAACCCTCAGTGCAATGCCAAAAATCCATAACCCCTGTGGCCCTGATCTGTCCAAAACTGTGGAGTATCAGAAGATACACGCATACACACCACATGATGTTTTGATGGTTGTTTCGGGAAACCTTAATGTGCCAGTCTACCCAAACCCTAATCATCGCTTATTTTCATCTCTGTTTTCAAAAACAACATAAACCAGTCACATTCCCAAGTGTTCAGTTGACAATTTCACCCCTTTTTGAGCTTAGGCTGCTGTCATAGCTTGGGGGAGCTTCATCTGATAGTAATATAAAGTCACTGCACATGCATAGATTGTAGTAAGTTTGCCTTTTTCCCGTTGACACGCATCTGTTGTTGAAAAATTGAAAACATCACATGAAATTAATGTTAATTTGTGGAATTTTATTCCATGTCAGTTGAGTTTAATCCACCAGCGCAAGGGTTGGACAATAACCTCTACGACCTTCATTTCATGCCAACTTTAAGGATTGAAAAGCAGAAGTGTGAAGTTTAGAATTTTATAAAAGCATTTCTTCTGTTAAAGCTGTATTATTTGAGATGTAAAACTGTTTACAAATCTAATTTTTTAATCATTCTAAAGCTACACTATGTGACATACTCCTCTGCATGTATGTATGCAATTTCCTGCAAAATCTGTCCAGACATCTCTAAAATATAAACCATTATTATAGGTTTACCAAAGTGTATTTGGTTGAAGACATGGTTTGGAAGATTTTTGCTCTCTGTCATTAATTGTTTTACAATAAAAGTTACATGGTGCAACTTTAAGCATTAGGTTTCAATAGTGTTAAGGTGTGCTCACATTCGTGAAATTTCACGGGCAGAAAGCAGTTCATTTTCCATTGTCAGTAGTGTAGTGATTTATGAAGCACTGCTCACACAATAGCCACTTTCAAACCAAGCAGTTTTCTATCGGTCACAGCGGCAGTTTTGCATGACTGACTTGAGCGAAATCTGCGTGGGGAACTTTTTTTTGTGCTTGTGTGAAACTCCCAATTGCACGGATTCCTATTGAAATGAATGGAATTCGCCCCTAAATGTTGCAGAACCGCAGTAAATGTGATGCACTTTTACTGTGCATTGTTTGGCGACAAAATTTGGATTTTAGATATAACTTTAAACAGAAAGAGTTAGGAAAGGATAAAGTTGCTTTTTCCAACCTAAAAACCATATTAACTTACTTTTTTTTTCTTTCTTGTGGCTATACCTGATATATTCCTTTAAAAACACATATCAGCTTAGACTCCATGAAATCCCACCTGATTCTTTCTTGTTTAGCTTAGAGCAAAAGCACCTGACTTATCTCCATTTGTTATAAATTCTTGCTAATCATCTTGTAATAATCTCTTTGCAAGCCCAGGTCCTGTCTCTAGGTGCCGATGTTTTGCCCGAGTACAAGCTCCAGGCTCCAGACGTCCACAAGTGGATCATGCTGCACTACAGTCCTTTCAAAGCCATGTGGGACTGGATGATTCTTCTGCTAGTGCTCTACACAGCAGTCTTCACTCCGTACTCAGCTGCGTTCCTCCTCAATGAGCTGGAGCAGGAGAAGAGACACATCTGTGGTTACACTTGTAACCCTTTAAATGTAGTAGACGTGATAGTGGACGTTCTGTTCATCATAGACATCATTGTTACTTTCAGGACAACATACGTGAATCATAACGATGAGGTGGTGACCCATCCCAAACTCATCGCCATCCACTATATCAAAGGCTGGTTTCTCATCGACATAGTGGCCGCAATTCCATTTGATCTGCTCATCTTCAGTTCTGGATCAGATGAGGTATAATGAACTACAGACCCTTCTTTAGAGTATGTGGCTAGTAATATTTAGACCTAAAAAGTCAGTAATCCCTGCTAACAGGGAATATACTGAATGTTCTGCTGAGATTCTCTCAAAGTTACGACATTATTCCAGTAACGTTAATAGAATGGTCTTTAATAATGTTCTATAAAAATGTTAGCACAATTTATACAGTTAAAATTAACTTTTATTGAATGTTTGTTCCATTTGTGATACCCATAAGGCTGTCCAGGGATGTGTTTGGTTGATTATTTTAAGCATTTTGTAGTATTCATCTAGAAAACAGGTACTTTTATATAAATATCATTCTAAAAGCAAGTGCCATTCTTGTGCCTCATCTACATTTGTGTAAAATATGACTTTAACATTAAATAGATGATGCCAACATTTAATTATTATTATTGTTGATACAGACATTTCCCAGAATGTCACTTGCAATTTTAGCACATTTTGGTGAAATATTTAGAAATAATAGTTATCATTTGTCTTAATTTTATGTGTATATTCTCTCTCTATATTTTAGTTGACATAATGCAACTAAATATGCAATATAATTTATGGTTATGTTGTTACTCCTTTTAAACTAAGGACCTATTGCAATAATAATAATTTAAAAAGAAAATGACATCATAATATGGAAATATGTTCATGATAAAAGGTTTAAAAATTTTAAATAAAAGAATAAAATTTTACATTTTATTTGATCAATTTAGTAATTATGACTTTTTAACTCACAATTGATTTTTTTTCTTACAACTCTGAGTTTATATCTCGGAATTCTGACTTTTTTTTGTCAGAATTCTGTGTTTACATCTCACAATTCTGTTTTTTGTGTCTGCCACTGAATAAAAAATAGAAAAGGTATCTTTTTATCTCACAATTCTGACTTTTTTCTCGCAATTGCAATTTTATATATCGCAGTTCTGACTTTTTCTCAGAATTGTGAATTATATTATAAGAATTTCAAGAAAAAAGTTTTAATTGTGAGAAACACCGAATTGTGAGAAAA